TAAAATCACTGAGCATAACAAATCATACAAAATACAAAATCGTGTTATAGTTTATATCTAACTGAGAACTAACTCGCCGATTTCATGACGTATTACAAAAAATCTCCAGTACATCACTGAGTTAATTACTTAATTTCAAATTGTTAGCATACAATACATACATCTACAAGATATAATAATTACAAATGTGGTTATCCCTTTCAAAATATTAGTTTTTAAGTTGCATGTTTCTAGTTTTGCAGCTGATAGCAGTATGTTTATGTAGCACGTCTAGCGAAGTTAATCTTCAAACTCAATTAAAAATTAACATTGTAAAGTATTTATGTACTTGAATGACAGTAAATCACTAGAATGATATGAAGATTACATGATACATCAGAACATAATCCATAACAGCATATGTCAAGTCTCTTAATGACGTCATCTTCGACCACCAACTGTTATCTGCACATAACCATCAACACGGCACATTTGCTTCATCACCAATACGTCAAAATCAGCTGATATGGCCCATACTCTTCTGTTATAAAAATTTCATTTCCAATTTTGCGTTCTAAAATGAAATTCTAGAAAATAAAATGTTTATCATAATATATAGGACTAATATTTTTATAGCAAGGTGATTATTTTAAACCAATTCATATTAAAATTCCCATTTATTGTAATAATGTTTCATAAAATCTCTAGACAACGTAACTTACGTTTTAACTACATGCCCAACATGACATGACAGTTATGAATCCATAAAATCACGATTACTAAATATCCATTACAGCTTGCTATGTATTTATTCAAAATCCACAACACCTACTTTGAGGCAAGAAAGCATGTTAACCAACGATAAATAACAAAAAGAAATCGCATCTAAAACCCCTTATGGTCGAGTTTAATATCTTTGTTTACTATAAAACATGAATATTGAAGCACAGCGTTATACTTTGTAATTCCAAAGAATTTAATATCGAACCTATAGTTTTAATAGCTGTTTACGAGTCCAGCCCAAAACTGTTCCCTCGTTTAAGCTCGTCTCTCACAAAGTTATTCAGTAGAGCGTGAAGTCTGAACGTCACTGTTTATCCCCAAAACTGCTCCAATAAAAGGGAGCCGAAGTGGTGGATGTTTACCGATTGAAATTACACGCCCTTTCACATTTAGCCGGAGTGTATTGCGCTGGAGCTTAGCCCAGTACATTGCCGTGATGACGGCTTTGGCTATCCACAATGTGTGAACACGCTACAAATTGTGGTATTGTTGCGGACAAATCGAGTTTCAAGTGTCTCGGTAAGTGTGAAAACATGATTGTGTTCTAGTAGTTAAAGAATTGCAATGTCGAATGTATTTTGCAGTATTTGTTTTCCTTTTGGAACAATACAAAAGCTGTTTAAAATAATATTCTAGTGCAAAGCCGAATTCCATAATCAAAACAGATTTAAACTCATTTATAATTAAAAAAAGAAAAATTGATCGATTCTTACGAACTTATACGACGGTTTTTAAATACTAAAAAACTATAATCATTAATTATAAGAAGAGTTATGATTACGTTTATAACCCCTCATACAACCTGCAACTAATTTTAATGCGACGACTTATTTTCCCAACCACTTATTTATTGTTGAATAAATAATTGGTCTTAACAGCTGATTAGTAGAAGTTCGAAGCATTACAATTTTACTAAACCTAACGGTGCCTTGCCCCCTCTATCCTGATCCAGCATTAATCCCAGTAGTCTAGTCCCCACCTGTTCAAAACTGTATTCATTGTAGATCTATTCAATTTTACAATTCATAAATCTCCTTTCTAAACTAATAACCTTTAAGCAACAGTCTAAATTCCATTATTCATCTTTTTATAGGCATAATTCCATATGACTTGGCTACTATAATATTTAAATAGCAACCCAGCAGACGCACAGGCAGCACTTGCCTATGTCTGCTGTATTTCATACAATCAATTTAATTTAGTTTATACAGAAATGTTCTGTTTTATTCTTCGTCTTAGTTTTATTTTGTAAGTATTTTGTATTAAAAAAGTGTGTTATTATTTTCTGTATATATTATGTGGAAATAAACATTCATTCATTCATTCACTTTTTTTTCTCTCAATCCTTGAACGTAATTGGTCCGTTGCTCATGTTGTAAAGTAAAACAACAATGCTGTCAAGTAAGTAAACAATGATGTTGAGTGAATCTTTTCAACTCTAAGAAATAAGAACTAAATTAAAACGGCTAGTTAAAACAAAACTGCTATAAAAAAAATTAGCTATGAAAAGCTGATTCCTAAAGAAATAATTACATCTTTGTTTTCCGCAAAATTATAAAAATGTATAACAACTAGCTTTGCATAAAAATGAGGTTTTATATGCAGTGTAGCTGATCAAAATGTGGAACTGGGGATCGTAACTGAACGGAATGTACACTAAGTTAAAGTTTCGTCGTTATTTTATCAGCTGCAGGCTAAAGTCTATTTTATCTAAAAGAAATTAGTGAAAGAAGAACACAATCTGTGTATTTACTCTAAGGAAATGTACATTTCCTTGTACATTCCTTGGGGAAAATTTCCACTTGTGTGTGGTTAAATTTTCCTATTCTTTGAGTAAAAATCGTGTTGTTGCCATATGTTTCCTACTACGTTTGTAGTATTAAATGGCTTCTAAAGTCTTGTATAAGTTAACATTACTAAATAACACAACTGTCTTCCAGATAAAACCGTTATGACTTGTGCATAAAAAAAATAAAAGTAGTCAATATTAAATTTATAGGTAATTTACAAATAAATGATAAGACAAATTACAGTATTTGAGTAATGGTATACTACCATCACCAGTGAAATCTTTTTAAAATCCAAATACGGAAGAAATATTTTACAAAATTGTTTATTGTCAACGATATACAAATTTCCAAACATTTCAAAATAAAAACATGTCGTGGAAAGAAAATTTAAATCAAGACTAAGAAAATAACTCTAATGTATTTTAGCATGTTATCTAAAAAAAACTAGACACCATCTCATTCTATCAGCAAGCCATCCGAAGTGTAAACATTTGACAATTCCAGCGAACATTGTTGAAAAACCACTCCCTCACACAGCGATTGTTAAACGAGCCAGTGGTTTCTTTACAAGCCATTGTTGTCAAAATGGGTTTTGAAGAGATGTCATTTCTTTCAGGCTGCAACTGATTTAAAAGTAATTTATATTTACTTACACTTAATACACTTCTTATAGTTAATATCATTTCCTTTTAGTTAATATTATCACGAGTTATAATTTTTATATAGATAAGTGTCTAGCTAGTATTATCTTGCATTACTTTAAGGATTGTTTTTGTATACCTTACGGCCGTCCACATTTCGAGAAAACCAATGTCAATAAAAACCAGTAACGAATACAAGCAGTTAAGTCAGCCTGGCAGCCAGTATCCATGAATATACTTTTACGAGTTGTAGTCAGTTTTTTGCTGGTTTTAAATCTGTATGTAAACTACGTAAACATTTTAAAATAGTAGACCTATACTAGTAAATTAATCTACTAGTAATTATTACTAGTAATCAATTTACTGGAACTTCTTTAACATTAATTTTGTTTACGTATAAATAGAATGTATATGTATATGTATATGTATAAACGATAATTATAGCGATCAACAGAATAAACGATTACTATTAAGATTCAACACGTTGTGTGGAGAACAAGCTGGTATAGGTATAGCGTGGGGCTTTTGACTTTCAGGTCCCATGTTAAAATAGCGTCAATCACCATTACATTTATTAAAGCAGCAACCATCTAGGAATAACCTGAAGTTATGTTCAAAACAGTCCCAGGCCAGAAACTAGCATCCTATGATGCACAGAAGGGACATAAAAAAGGGTAAAACCTTAGATTAACAAGAAACAAACTATTTCGTCTTTTCAGGGCGTTTAATAGCACTAAAACTAGACAAGACCTAGTAGATAATATCTACTTATATTATATATACAGTGTGTAAATTAAGTATGGAAACAAATCTGTATTTTTAAAACCGAAATAGATAGAAATATTCTATTTGTGGCAATAATAGTTAACAAAGATTCCGCAATTTTTCACATGAAAAATATTTTTTTACCCCCCTAACAGGGTAGGTGGTAGGGGGTGACTTATTTTTTTCAAATAGCAACCCCTATTGAGTGACCCCTCATTTTGAAGGGTTTGTCAAAAGAAACACAATGACGCAAATCCGAGGTGAATATCTCACTCCTAGCTAACATGGCGGATATTCCAAAATGGGCTTTTTTTTACAAAAATTAAATTTTTCATTACCCACCATTTAGGCTAGGGGTAAAATATCTACCTCGGGTTTGCGTCATTCTTTTTCTTTTAACAAACCCTTCAAAATGAGGGGTCACTCAATAGGGGTTGTTGTTGAAAAAAATAAGTCACTCCCACCCCCTACCCTGTTAAAGGGGTTGAAAAAATATTGTTGATTAAAAAAATTGCGGAACCTATGTCAACAATCAATTCCACAAACAGAATATTTCTATCTATTTCGGTTTTAAAAACAGATTTCTTTCCATTATTTGTGAAATTGGTGCTTTTCACGTACAATAAATCAAATTTTGGAATATCCGCCATTTGGGCTAGGAGTGAGATATTCACCTCGGATTTGCGTCATTGTGTTTCTTTTGACAAACTCTTCAAAATGAGGGGTCACTCAATAGGGGTTGCTATTTGAAAAAAATAAGTAACCCCCTACCACCTACCCTGTTAGGGGGGTAAAAAAATATTTTTCATGTGAAAAATTGCGGAATCTTTGTTAACTATTATTGCCACAAATAGAATATTTCTATCTATTTCGGTTTTAAAAATACAGATTTGTTTCCATACTTAATTTACACACTGTATACTATATATATTATAGTATAACCAACTTTCTACATGACAATATTGAATACAATGTAAATTGTTCATATACAGAATTATTACCAATGTTGTAAGGTTTTCTAAAGGATTTTCCTCTGTTACAGGCTCAAGCTCCCACATTTGAGGAAGATGAGGAGGAAAAGAGAGCTTGGAGAGATATGAATTCTGGGTGGGGAAAAAGAGGATGGCAGGATCTGCAAAACGGAGGATGGGGCAAGCGTGGTTGGCAAGACCTCCAGAACGGAGGTTGGGGTAAAAGAGGTTGGCAAGACCTGCAGTCTGGGGGATGGGGAAAGAGAGGATGGCAGGACCTGGGAAATGCAGGGTGGGGTAAGCGGGGATGGCAGGATTTGGGTAACGCTGGATGGGGCAAGAGAGCCTGGAAGGATCTGTCTTCATCAAGTTGGGGAAAACGGGCATGGAGGGACTTATCTTCCAGCGGCTGGGGAAAGAGAGGCTGGCAGGACCTGGACGTAAGTAACATTCATGGTTCATGTAGACAATGTAGGTGATGCATAAGTTAAAATAATTTTTAATTCATTAAAATATCCTAAAAATTCTCTCGAGTTGTGCCTTTGTAAAGTTTTGTAGTGGAACTTTGGGAAGTAACTATTAAGTCTCCATGGTCCCAAATATTAAAAAAACCACAATGTTTACATTTTGTAATATTCGCGTTTGTTGTACTGTAATTATTACATTTTTATAGGGTCATTGATTATATTCTTCTTCGCATCAGTTAAATAAATTGAACACAATACAATATTATAAATCAAATCTCTAACTTTTGTTATGGTCAAATGTGGGTCGTCTCAGTACCTATACATAATGCAAAATAATGTTGTTTAGTACGGTATTTAAATCTGTCATAACGGTATATTCCAAGTGGTAAAATTGTAATCAATTACCAACACGTGTTAAAAAATGGCATGTCGATCGTTTTAAGTTTTGTTTATGAACTCATTTAGGGATAAGTAGCTACCTATGTACTACAGTAGAATTAGTTAACTATTACATAATTTTCTATAGTGTCATAATCCCGTTACGAAACAAGTGCTAAAAGTTTAACAGCTGATGACAATATAATTTTCAATGTAGGCCTATATATATATATCATCTTTAACATCCATGTGCTACTTTGAAACACATACACATGTTTACTTTTCAATACAAAACACTGTTACCCAGAACATACGTTACGGCTCTACTATATTATAAAGCCAGGTGATGAATATGACACCTGAATGTAGCAATATCCTGTGATTGATCTGGCCTTGGCTGATTTAAGCCCGTTATCACGTCCAAACTTGGCGTGATTTACTGCTTAAACACTCATTATAACCGACGATGTGGCCTCATCAATCGTTTAGTCGGATTAATGGCTCTTGGTCACAACCAACATTAGTTGTTCGTTTAGTTAGCAGATTAAAATACTACAACTTAAAACTAAAACATGTAAAAGAAATTAAAATTTGTATATACGTTGGACATTCAGTTATCACACAATTAAACTTTTAAATTGTAAATAAGACTGCTTATGAATCTTGAATGAATTAATAAAAAAATACTGTTTGAGGCGAAAGTGAAGTTCACATAGCTTTCCATAAATTCGTTCATTGACATCACCGTTTTTAAACAAATATCTGTGCGAAAGCCTTTTGACAAACGGATCCCCAATTCATCAAAGGCTAAAAGCACAAATACGGACCATAAAATACCATTTAAAAAATGTTCTTTATGTTTTGACTATGTTTATTTTTCATCCAGAAAATACTGAACCAATGAAATTGTCTCATTACAAAGATAACACATATACAGTAGGGACGGGTGGCGTCGTCCTGTAATCCAGCTACTAGGAGGTTAAAAGTATTTAACAGCGATTTGAATAGATTTGACTTTTGATACATGTACATAACGCGTGAAGTTGTAGTGCGAATTTTTAGTCACTAATAACTCTCATTAGCTATGGAGGCACAACATTTTAAAATTGCTACAAAAAAGGCACAAAATAGTACTTAAAAGTTGTATATGTTAACTTAACATAAAAAATGTGCACTGCAGCGTGAAGTGGAGTGCACAATTTTAAATCTATAGTCACAACATTTTTGAGATTTGGCACAAAATTAGTACAAAGATTTAGTTTTAATATATAAACTACTTTATATATAGATACTTCACCCAGCTTTTTAACCATTTATTACATTGTTATATATTGCTGAAAACTGCCTTCATGGTGAATATAGTATTTTTTGCTCTGCTATATAAAGTAGTGTTATGAACAGTTTGTACTTACGTATGAGGGTTTACAGGGAGGTTGGGGTAAGCGGGACCCCTTCTTGGATGTTGAAGATGACGACGTATCAGACGAGGATAAGCGCTCCTGGAGCAGCCTGAGGGGAACCTGGGGGAAACGAGCGGCTCCGGACTGGCAGAGCTTTAGAGGTAAACCTTCTAAAGTACTCGTACTGAGTAAAGTTAAGATCCCGAATAGCTATTTTTATATTATGTTAACCGGGGTGAAGATGAACAGCGGGGTGAAGATGAACAAAACTCGGAAAATGTTCATTATATTTTTTTATAAGAAATCATAAAAAATTAAATAAATAAAAAAATATTTTATGAATCAGCATCTTGTTGTCTACATAAAACACACACTATAACAATCATAACCCAAATGGTGTGTTAAAAAAATATTTCAAGCGACCGTTGTTTTTTGTAAAAAACGTATGTCTTACTAAATCCATGTAAAGGCAATTTGTATTTATGAATTTAAGGGTGTATTATTTTCTTCAGTAGCCTCAATAGGTTGAAATGCCAGCTTTGTGTTACTTTAAACAATAAAACAGTATAATGTGAACTGATTTTCCATAACTATTACTGGAGCTATGGAATACTTTACATGAAAATGAGTCAGTCAAAAACAACTTGATATCTGCCTTTCGGACCACCGGAATTGCTCCTATAAACAGGGAACAAGTGCTTAAGAAACTGCTAGATTATGAAAAGGTTGCAGTCCCTGCTAGTGAAGAAGGCAATAATAGCACCTCAGAACTGTTAACGTACCAAACGTACCAAAAGAATTCCCCTATGTTGATGTCTCTGGACTGAATACTTACAGCCTGAAAACTTGGAGATAATCCTAGTGCTTTCCAGTGTCTGGAGGCAATTCTGGGAGAAGGATATTTTGCCATGGTTTGCCAGGAAACTAATGACTATGCCGCAACACAACTGGCCAAACCTAACCGAAGAAAAAAATTTGATGACGATAAGTGGCAACCCCTAACTATCCCTGAGCTAAAGGCCTATTTTGCCCAATATATTTTGATGGGTCAAGTGAGAAACCCCACCATAAAAATGTACTGGACATCCAGAAAAATACTTGAAACACCCATATACGCAGAGGTGATGACATACCAGCGCTTTAAACTTATTTCAAGATTTCTTCATTTCGCAGATGAAGAATTTGCTGAGCAAAGAGACAAGCTTAAGAAGCTGAGGCCTGTTATATCCAACATGCAAACAAAGTTAATGCACACCTACACTATGAATCTGAATCTAGCGATAGATGAAAGTCTTGTCAAGCTAAGGGCACGGTTATCATACGTTCAGTTCAATCCCAAAAAAGGGCTCGTTTTGGCATAAAAATATATAAACTTTGTGAAAGTGCAAGTGGTTAATGCGGTGATTTTAAGATATATACAGAAGATGATAAGGCTCCTAACATCCCAGCTAGTGAAGCTGTGGTAATGCGATTGGCTGATTCAATAGTTGATTTAGGCCATATTTTGTATATCGATAACTGGTACAATTCTCCAGGGAAATAGGGCAAGCGATTCGTCGAAGCAAGGATGGCATCCTAGCTGTGAAATGGAAGGATTGGAAAGATGTACATGTTCTTTCAACAATACATGCTGGAATTGAAATGACAGTAGTTAAAGAGATTTATTTAACACTTAAGGTGATGGACAAAATTGGTATTGGTAGTGCCCTTGGAATTTGGACTAATAAAGTAAAATGAACTGGGATTCTCTACTCAGGTTTGTACTTTTACTAGGCTATTCTTTATAACTAACGAGTAAGCTATTAAAATTCACTTATATGAGAGATCTTTAACAATACAAATTTTCTAACTATGAACATATTTTACAATATTGGAGGTTTAATGATAAGTAAACAATGGTTCACCATCTTAGGTTTAGCTCAGGTAGAGCAATGAGATTCTAAGTTTATGATTACAATTTATTTATAAAATATTCTCAGAGAGGGGAACTCGGCTGACTCAAATCTTCACATATCTTTACATAGAGTTTAAATAATACCATTGACTATGTATACCTAGTCAATGATAATACTTAGAACGTTATGTCAATTATTAAGAGTCTAATGAAATAACTACGGAATCTTGCACTTAGGCTTAAATCAATAGTCCAACAATGAATTAAATAGGATTTGCTTCTAATGAATGTTAAAGTTAATTAATTTTTGATCGAATTGATTTTCTGGATTAAATGTTCTTGTTGACATGAAGAAATGTTTTCTTTCGAAAACAGTAGTTCTAAATTTTGAATTGAAAATTAATTGATTTGAAAATAAAATGTCTTTGAAAATTTATTTTAGACAATCCCAAATGGAAAGTTCTAACCAGGATTGGTATCTTAACTTCTTCGTTTGATTTCTTAACAATATCTTGACGAAGAAGAACAAATGTAAATAACAATTAGTAAAATTTAGACCACTGTTCTTCTGTTACCTTACATATACTATATTTTATAGCAGTATTACTTAATTGGGGATGAGACTTTCACTAAAAAAGATTTAGATGTTTAAGCTGTCATGTCTGATGGAGAAGATAATGATTCTTTATATTGCTTTTAAGAAGTTGTTTATTGGTTTACTGTGGTTGCAAACTGTCTTCTTTCTTGTTAAATTCAACACCACCTGACCTTTATTTTGGCTTTAGCAAAATCATTTAATGTTTAAGGTTTTAGAATGAATTTATACTTTATTTATAATTTTGGACAAAAGTGTAATTTTTATGGACTAAATTACAAAGATACAGATTTTTTTTACAATCATATTTGTTGGATATATTTTAAAATGTGATGATAATTTCTAAGAGGTGGCTAGTAAATAGTATATTTCATATTTGTTATACATTTTTTATTGAAATTTGCGTGCATAATAATGCCTGTTTGGTCCAATGCCCGCGTTTGACTTGAAGTGACTTAATTTTACATATACTTGAGTGGACTGTATTATCTGACTTGCTTTTGTGACTTTAGGGCTAGACATGGAGAACAGTACATGCATTTGAAACAATGGGCTTATTAAGGTTTTCACTCTTCACAATTACGTTAATTTAATTAAGTTCACAATTAGATTGATATTTTACCAAGAAATTAAGTGTACCTTTTAATTTACATAATATTTAACTTTATTCAGATTTATTAGTTGAAATCCTGGCCAGATGCATTAAATTTCCCCAATACTTAAAAGTGGTTAAGGAAGGAAGGGAAGTGGCCACATAATGTTCGTCAAATGTTACTGATGCTAATGTTAACGTATGATGTTGGAGTGATCTTACCCACTTTCGAAGAACTTTACCTTAAACAAAACCCTAGCCAAGTTGCTTGTCTGAAACTTGGAAACTGAGAGACAGAAAGTAGATTGGATCACCCCACTCCGCCAGTAGTTCAGGCTTTGCCCGCCAGAGTGCAGCACCAATCAGACACCCAAACACTGCGTTACACTTAGTTCACTTACTTTCCACAAGAGTAAGGAGATTGGAGGGAAATAATGATGGCCCAAACAATGCCTTAACTGTTTGACACTGACTACTAAATTTTAATATACTTACTTTAACGTACTTAACAAATCTTTTTATTTATAACTACAATGAATAAAATTAATCTAATGAATGGGCTATTATCGCCATGTGACATTTCAAAGTCTTTCATCTACCTACAGTGTGAGATTTTAACTAGGGAGATTTAACTAGGGAAAATATCCACAGGATAAAGTTTAGGTTTAAATGTAATTTTGTATCACGTCATTTTACGTTATAAAAATTATATAATTTGTTATGTTTAAATAAGCAATTGTGTCGCTTTTAACTGTACTTTTTAAATACTTTTAATTCTTAAAATGTATTTTTAGATGTTTTACGTCTAACCAGAGATCGTTGGTAAAATTCTTTTTCTGCAAATTAAAGTATCTACTACTTTTTATGAGAACTCATAAGACAGAAAAATATAAACCTTAAAATATAAACAGGTTGGCTTTCTTATCATCAACATTTAAGAGGCGATATTGAGAAAAGGCAGTTGCAAAGGCTGGGACGCGACTAAAGGTGACGTTCTCCCTCCGTCGGTTAATTAATGATCTACTTCCAATCCATGCCAATTATAATGTCATTGTCTCTTCAATCTGTTTCATTTCGAAATTTTAAATTGGCTCGTTTCAATTAGTATTCCAGAAGTTTCCTAGACCTTTTTAGCTGAGATATACCTTTAACGCAATTGATTGAGATTTCTCTCTTTGAAAATACAATAAAAATTGTAAGTCTAACTATAATGCAGATTTATTAAGTTAATGACCTATTTTTTTATTAAAATTGAATAATTTGAATATTTCATCGAGAAAATAAATATCCATTTTGATGGGTATTACTGAAATTAAGCGACGATAACTATAATTATCTCTAGTATTTTTAAGTCTGAGAAAAATCTTTTACTTAGTAAAATACCACAATAAGTTAGTAAAATACCAAGCGTTCTGGTGCAATGCAACTGCAGTGTTTTTATACAGATTTATTAGTCGAGGGGGTTGATTTGGCGGGCGGGATTGGTTTAAATTGTATACACTTTTCTAAATTACTCCTTGGTTAAAAACGAAAACGAAAAAAAGTAGTAAATGTGAAAGTCTTTAACACGATGTAAGACAGTGGTTCAAACACTGTAGTTTGGGGGAGGAGTTCAATTATTTGTAGGGGGGGACAAATGTAGAAATGCTCAATTCCTTTAAATATGGGGTTTTAGTACCTCTGTCTAGGCATCTTGCCAGATGTCATTTATAGTTAAATATAGTTTATAGTTAAATGGGTTATTGTTGTAAAATGTCAATTTCGAAAAGGGTGCAGGACCTACAAAAATTGCTAACAAAACGACTTGTGGTACAATAACTTAGACCCAAACAACGATAAAAAAGTACATAAAGGTAGTCTAGCAGTTATATTAAATCGAAATTCCAAAATGTGCCTTTTAATCATTAAAGAACTCTTTACAGGTAAAGAGAATAAGGTAAATCTTTTTATGTTCTACATCTATCTCATCTTATTGTTTTCTTGTCTAGGATCTTGGGGTAAGAGGGATCCTGCCTGGAATAACCTGAAAGGACTTTGGGGAAAGCGAAGTGTCGATTCTAGGGCAGGTAAATATATTTTGTTGGACACACACATAATTTAAATGATTCTGATGAATTGGCTTAACTTTTTAACATCAAATGATTTCAATCAAGTCCATGCTTTGTTTCAATTTAAAGTAATCAGGTTATTTGCGTAAACCATGATAATGTATTGTAACACTACAACGAAAAAATTAAATTATTTTAATTTATTCATACTGATACTAATACATTTAACTTAAAATAGTACACTTTGGTAAATTTCCCTTAACGTTTGGACATTACTACACTGCATTCTAATGTGTTGAAGGAATACCTAAAAGCTATTGTGAGGTTCTTCAGCGAATGACAGGCATGCGTTGCAACTAGGTAAGTGAGCCAGGAACATGACAAAACCCCGAAAACTCACAAGCACCCCTCCAATAGTTGTTTAGCAGAGCTATCGGTTAGAAAACTAGTTAGAAAACGAGCCAGTTAGGTTAGATGTTTTCAATAGTTCTGATTGTTGTTGGTGTGAAGTAAAAGTTTTACTTGTGAGTCGCAATTACGCAATTAGCCACTGAATAGAACATATTAATACTTGAAAGCCACCGCAGAGCAGCCGTTACAGTGATGTATCCCTACTAGTTATTGGCCATAGCTTAGATAACTTAGTTATTACTAGGTGATTGATAATCGTACATAGCTTTACGAAAAAAGCAAATATCATAGATTTTAATCAACAGAGTGTAAAATTAACAGTTAACCTTAGAATCATTTTCATTTCTCTAACATTCGATGCATTATTACTAAAATAAGTTGGTTCGTATGTCATTCCCAACCCAAGTTGTCTCATATGAGAGGCTAAGTTAGGTCTTGCAAGTCCTCTCTATCATTGTATGAGTAAAAATATGAATAAACTATTTATTTTAATAAATCAAATAAAGTGTTCGAGTCAAAAGTAACATAATATAACCTAAAACTAAATTAAATTAAATAAGCCGTCAATTTCTCTATGATTATTGATTTTATACGAACATTCTTCATATCGTAAAAAAACATTATTTAGCTTCAGCTTGTATCAATAATTTTAATAGATTCCACAGACTGCTATTAAGGTACATTTTAAGATGTTTGAATGGAACACTAGTTGGATGTTTGATGATATGAAAGGATTACATCATTAACACTACCATAACAGGACAGAATCACTATATGACGTGACATCTGACATCACTCTAACTAGATAATAGTGGTCATTACTGCATTAGAACTCAGTGGACCTAATATGCAGTGAATGGTCTAGTGTTATATATGTAATGTGCACCAATATCATATATGTAACTTACACCCTTATACATAAATCATCCTTATAGCTCAAAAGATTTAAGGAGTTTTTGTGCCTAGTAAAGTTTGAGTACGTTAATTTCTTTTAGCGAATTTCCCTATAGGGAAGTAGCTATTACCGTAGGTGGCACGGTAAGACCTAGACCTGGGACCGATTTACTTTTTCATTTTGATGTCCCCAGAGGCCAAAAACACCATTCGTTCAAATTTTTATATATGTATATATATATATATATATATATAGATTTATATATATATATATATATATATATATATATATATACGTCCGTGAACGCGATAACTTGAGTAATTTTGGTCCGATTTTGATCAAATTTGGTTTAAAGGTGTAAAGCGAGATAAACTTGAATGAGTTCGCGAACCAGCATGATCGGACCATGGGAACGGGGCTTTAGGGGGGGTTTTATGGGGTAAAAATTGGTTTTTCTCACTTTTGACCCTCAAAACACAAAATTTCCCAATTTCTTTTTAGACCTTTTTAAAGACCTTAAAAAAACAAATAATTTAGTATATAAAAGTATTTTTGTTCGATTATTAGTAACGGAGAAAATTAAAAAAATTGTAAATTTAAAATTCCCATGTTATTCTTATGGAGAATATTGTCAAATGTTGTAATTTGCTTGTTTATGGATATATTTTGATCAAACTTGGCAAATTTATTTATTTTGTACTAAGCTATCAATATTTTACTCAAAAACACACTTTATTAGGTTCCTTGTAGCAGCAAACCTAGGTACTCGTTAAACCTAATGTTATTAAAATATATTTAATTGAAAATCAATTCAGACAAATGGAAATTCGCTTAGTCGGCAGGTTTGCTGCGGCGGGGGTATTTAAGTACAGTTTGTACTCTGGAATGAAAACTAAGAGGATGAGTGAAGAATGTTATATTTACCATAAATATTTAAGAAATATGAGCATTCAGGCTTTTAAATTTATCAAATGACACCCACATATCTATTATGTGAAAGAATTAATATGCGAAATTGTCCTATCTAAATATAGCTTCAACTTGTGAATAAAGGTTGAGATTGAAATTAAGTATAATGCGTTGGAAGCACCACGGACCCCAAAACGCGGGAACTAGTCTTCATGACCCCAAAATAAATTCATGGGCTGGCCAGTGCTCATTGTACATTTTTTCTATTCAGTAGTTTAGTGTACTGTTCACCTACCAACCATCGAAGAAGTGCAACTTTAGTCCTAGTTGCTGGTATTTTTTGGACAAATCTTCTTGGTAAAGGGTATAATACAGGGATGTCATGGGTTCAGATCTTGGTACCTACAACAACTTTTCATCAGTACAGTTCACCCTTGTACCGTATCGACTCGCTCCTTGCTTTACTAAACAGTTCCACGCACAGGCCCAAAGGCTATGTGGATGGGCAAATAACGAGTTAGAAAGACGAGTTTTTATTTTTTGGCGGAAAGTATCAGGGTTCAATGTATAGCTATAGTTGAACGGCCATTACTTTACTTTTAACAGTTGGAATTTCTTAATTCTATTAGTAATAAATTAACTAAAATAGTAAATATCCTTCCTTTACTTGTTCATTAGGATTGAGAAACTAGATCCATACTACTACTTGAATAACTAAAACTTGTTTAAATTGACAATTTAAATAACTTTAAATTGGCAGTATCAAATAATTTTTAAAATATTTTCGAACCAACTATAAACTTTTCAAAAACGAAAATGTTAAACAAGCCTATTAACAAAGCATTCACGATAGTCCTAACATTTGTATGACTTGTTGCAGGAATGAAAGAGTCGTCCGAAGAACTGAGCAGGGACGAGTAGAACTTCATACAGCCACCTTGTGTTTCCTTCCCTCCCTTCTAAATTGATTTGTTCCATTCAAATTTGAGTTATGTATTTATGAATACACAAAAGAATACAAATACATATAATTTATAATTACTATAGACAACACCACTTTACTACAATTGTGCTGATGAAATTCAACCCCCTCCCCCAATAAGAAATTTAACTGAAAACTAAATTTAAGAAGAATTATCAGCACAAGTGGGAAAGTGATTTTACAATTCACATCTCAAATCATATGTTTAATTAATTTTACCGTTGATGACTTGTGATTAATTTAGACTACACTCCAATAATGTATCTCTACTAATATACTTTTTTACAATCAGGTGTTCAGTTTTTTACACAACTTACCTGCTTATTAACGCCTCGAATATTGTCTTCTAACTATATCAAAACCTGTCGTTATACGAAGTCTGCCAATAAATATCCATATTTATGAACTGTAATAAATGTTGTCATGGAACGAAAAAGTTGTAACATTCATCGCCCTTATCTATACTAAGAAGTGAACTGAGAGAAATATTTATACAGTTTATATTTGTATAGTTGTACAGTGTGCTAGCCCCCTATAGTGCTAGTTTTACCTGTCGTCCCAACAACCTAAGGGTAAGAATTATTTTTCTAAATAAATTATTTTGTGTGCCCTCCAGTGGATCAGTAAAGCCCAGTTAAGAAAAGTTGTGTTTTATTTACCCTTTGGCGCATTTCAAAGACAACAGTTCAAAATTCAGCTCTTGAAACATGTATGGACATACATACACTTTACAACTAAAAAGGTTATTAATTTCGAACTCAACATATATTTGAAAACTTATATACAGTTTATTTATTTTACTATATTGTAAAATGGCCTTTGAATTGGTGAAATACCGCAATACAGTTCAAGGTATGTATAATGTATCTAGCGCAAATAACAAAACAGTATTAAGATGAGAACTCAAATAGTGTTAACAGTTGATCGGACACATTGACTATGGATACAACGTTATGAAAAGGAAAAAGTCAATAATAATAGTCTACAAATTATACAACTATCAATTGCATTTGTTTGTAGCTAATCTCTAGTCTGGTCTCATCAGGAAGAAACACGACAAAGGGACAGCTACTCTTAATTTTATTTATAATCTGTTTCTGCATAATTTTTACTAAGATAGTTATAATGCAAAAGATCTATTGTAGCTTTGCATACTCAACGGAATAATAATTCATCACTCTGTTTGTGGCTCTCAACTTAACTACCGTAATATATTTTCATTCTAATACTTTTTGCAGGCATAGAGATAGAATGTCTAAATATATCCACAGTCAAACCAAATAGTCAAGATTTTACCACTGATATATTTTAGCAACTATAGCTAGTGCAAAAAATGGTTGTGGAACGTTTAAACCAATTTTATAGTAAGGAAATAAAACACTTGTTATCTAGACCCAAAATTCACATTGTGTATAATATTTAATTCCATATATTTAATAATTTTCTATATTTATGCTTACTTCTAACAAATTAGTGTAATTTGATCTGGAATTGCTGGTATTATGAATTCTAAAACACCATTTTATACGACTGATCAACAATCAATCCAACAGGCTTATCATACCTTAGATAAGAGTCAAAATTAACTCCTAAATCCTTAAATTGGTCAACTCTTTTAAGTTTGAAATAATTTACAGAGTGAGGAAAAGGGATGAATATCTTTTCGAGTAAAGCTTAGCGTAACACATTTTTTAATATTCAATTTCTGGTGATTACAGACACCAATTTGAAAGACAATTAAGAGATGCTTGTAACATATTCTCATCATTCCCTTCTCTAATGGCTCTAACATCTTTAAATGGTCTGCATGCAAAACGATCTTAAAGTCAGTAAATATTTCAGGAAGCTCATTAATAATGATCAAAAACAGCAAAGGACCCAAATTGGAGCCCTGGGGAACACATGAACTACATTAGAATGATTTAGACTTGACATTCATAAAAAGTAGGGAGATCGTTGTACCTTGATCATAGTGTACATTGGATCAGTGTGTGGTATCTCTAACGTGCTGCCATCTAGATAAGGACTGGAGTAGTTCATAGTTTCTCCAGTAGAGAGCAGAGCTGGCGTTGTGACAATGTGCTGTTGGTGTTATTGGTTGTTTAATAAAATAAAGTAATTTTCAAGTGCGAAAAGCAGTGGCGGCTAAAGGGTGGGCTTGGGGGGGGCTTAGCCCTCCCCAGATATAAGTATTATTTTTTTTTGTAAAATTAGAAAAATGCATTAAAAAATAAAGTAGTAAGTTCTAATGAATAATATAGGCTTTTATTTGAATTTATCAAATGCTTTCTTATTACAATTAAAATAAACTAAAAAAATACTTTAGCTCTAAAGATGGTTTTGTACCGTACAATATATCGGTAGCATCATAACTTCGGATAACCCATTAATAGAGATGTGCGAGTACTCGAGATTTCGAGTTCGAGTCGAGTATGGCCTTGAAAATCGAGTCGATCTTTGAACTCGACAGTTTCGTTTCGAGTTTGATTCAAAATTGCAAAATAATCAATGTATGTTAAACTGTGAATTGTATTGCCATAAAATGCTGGTTAAGTTGTATTACTGTAGAAATAAGCAAGAGCTAGTTAGCTGTCCCGACAGAACAGGTCAACTCAACACAGCCATTTATAGGCGACTGCCGCGACTGGCATACTAAAGAAATGAAATGAAAGACGCAATGACGACACAGCTGGCAGAACACCATGATCGGCACTACCAACATCTGAAGATGAAATCCAGTTCCAATCACTGAGCTATAAGAATATAACTGGAGTAACCACTCTGTGTTCAAAAAACGTACCGCTGTTTTTGCTGGTTTGGTTTCAGAGTTTCGTGTTGTTAGGTTGGCCGTGTGATCGACTGGTGGGACTTGTCAAAATAGTAATAGAGGCAAAGGCGTCATGTTGTTGTGTTGGAATGGTTATCATCACGAGCAACCCATATTAACAAGATTTATAATATAAAGACAACAGCTACGGTTCAAGTGAATCAAGAATATAATGTCAATAACAAAATTCAGTGTAGTCACAGTTGTCACAACTTCATCTGCATTCTCCGGTCAACAACCTGACCTTTAAGTTAATTAAATTTGGTTTGGTAGGCAAAGTACAACTTATTGATCTATAAAGAAATGAAGAAAGTAAGTAATAGGCCTATTACCATCTTTGGTTGGCCTAACACATTTATGACAATTGAAACTTCACAGTGTGCTGTAAGGGTCGGGATTGACCTCGGGTACACATACTTGACCGCTAGCAGCTACACATTAAGCGCAAATCTTGCAGACATCGCTACCTTCTGGGACGTAGGACTCAAGACCCACTCATCACATTAGGCCTAACCTATTTGTTAAGCTTGGACAAAAAGTCAATCAAAGTACCATACTAAACTTATGTGCAAGTAAGTTAAGGTATGTAGGGGCCTAGCTATATTTAAAATTCGTAAAAAAGCCCCAACAAATATTGGCCTGCATATAGGCTAGGTAGGCCTAGGTTCTACCCCTTAGGCCTAAAGTAGGTACCGTAACTTAAAAGGGGTACTTAAAAGAGGGGGGGGGTTTAATTTTGACAAGTCAATACGTTATAAATATAAAGATAAATAGCCTAGGCCTTTAATATGGAGAATAGAATGAAGTCGGAGTACTCCTACAAAGTACAATAATATCTAGGCTAAGTTAACTTATGTAGGGCATTGACAAAAATAGGCTAGCCTAATTAATTACACTAAGAAAATAGGCGTAGTAAAAATATTTACCAGGAAACTTGACTATTTTCATAGTATTTATTATCAAAAACCATTGATAATGTTTCAAAATACTTAACTTTAAATACACAGGTTTTGACGTTCAATAACTTGAAGTCCGTCAAATAACAACATTAACCCTAGATAGCATGGTTATGGTTAGGTTTAGATTAGAACTTGAATTTGATTTGACAGCATCCCACCAACCGATCGGTCAACGGCCAACCTAACAACCACGGCCAACCTAACAACACGAAACACCGAAAACAAACTAGCAAAAACAGTGGCACGTTTTTCTCTAATGCTGAACCAGAGAGTAGTGACTCCAGTTATATTCTTATAGCTCAGTGGTTCCAATTCACCAATGAATAATGCAGTGTTTGAAAATAACAAAAACAATTAATTGTTTTATTACTTATTTCTTTCCTCTGCCATAGTCAATCAATATATGTGTTATGTGTAAAAACTTCTGAAGTCTAATAATTACAATTATATAGTGACATAAAAATTTTGTCTCTCAAGATAATATCTTATGCTATGTAGTATAGTAATTTATAATTTGTCATTGCTTTAAATTCAGTCATCTATAATCTTTGACTATTAACCCAATACCAAACGTCAATGCTATTATGGAAAATTTGTTTACCCCATGGTTAAAATGTTGCTTTGGTGTGTTGTCTGCAGATGAATAATGTACTTACTAATGTAGTGTTCTTCCGTTCGTCGTCCGCTAAAAACACAAAAGTTCAAAAAAGTTAACTTAACTTATGTGTGCTTAAATAAGTACGTAGTGCTTAATAGTGATTGTAGTTGTTAGCATAGATAAAACATACGGTGTTAGGCGGCAGATTACAGGTAAGTTAAGTTAAAACAGTGGAATTTTGTAAATTTTTATTAAAATGGAGGATGATCCAGACGATCCACAACCAGGGCCTTCTGGTGCTTCCAGTTCAAATCAAATCCAAAATATAAGTAAATATGTTGTTTGGAAATACTTTTCTAAACTCGACTCCACCAAAGCTTCTTGCAACAAACGCATAAGTTGTTAAGATACCAACTGGCTCTACAACCAATTTGGGAAGACATCTAAACACACACCCAGTTGTATTAGGTATATTAAAGAAAGCCCAGAAAGAGCAAGAAGAGAAAAATGTGGCTGCAAAAACGGGAAAAGTAAACAAAAGCCAACTAAAACAGCAAACTCTATCAGATATGACTATGGGGAATTAAAGTGAGTCAGTGGCTCAGTCGGTAGTGTCACGGACTTCGGGCCCAAGGCAGCGATGTCGTGGGTTCGGATCCTGGTCACTGCCGATAACATTTTATCAGTACAGTTCACCTTTGTACTGTACCTGCTCACTCCTTGCTTTGCTGCAAACGATCCACGCACGGGCGCTTAGTCTATGTGGACAGGCAAATGCAAGGTTAAAATAAATAAATAAATAAATGGGGGAAGGACCACCCTAAATCCAAAACTATAACTAAGAAAATAGCATCATGGATGGCAAAATCTTGCCATCCCTACTCCTTGGTTGAGGAACAAGGTTTTAGGGATTTAATGAAAGAAGTGGTCCCCTTATATGAAATCCCATCAAGGGTAACATTTTCTAGAAGTATCATCCCAAATCTTTTTAATGAAACAAAGACCAGAATAAAGTCAGAAATAAGTGCTTCACACCCTCATATTAAACCATTATCGTTCACATCTGATCTCTGGACATCAGGAGCTTCAGATAATTACATATCATTAACCCTTCACTTAATGACAAAAGATTTTGACATCAAGAGATATTCTTTAGGCACGCTCCATTTCCCAGAAGAACACACTGGTGATAAAATTAAAACCAAAATCTTAGATACTCTGTCCGAATGGGAACTGAACTGTGAATTATACCCAACCTA